TGGGCAATTTCAAACTTATAACTAGATATTAAAAGCCCTGGTTTCTTCACGATGTCTCCCTTTACCGTTTCTCGTCTAAATATCCTTAGAATGCACACACGGCCACACATCAATCTATACAAAACCAGTTTATCCTGGTGTCGCATCGCATCATCTTTCCGCACATTTAACGTTCAGTTTATACTGGTTATGTAAAGCTCGATGTGTAGCCGTGTGTACATGAAACGTTGGTAAGGTCAACAAGATAAAGATGTTCCTATTATAACTTTCGTGAGACATACACAATCAATTATTATGTTTTCGGCTTACTCACGTAACTATTTGACGAGGAACTTACTAGGTTCAAGAAACACCAGTCGTAGCAGCGTGACAGTCGTCATGAACATGAGCATGGCTTAAAACTAGTCGAGTTACTGCCTGACTACACAGTCAGTCATCCAAAGGCCTTTCCTAAGGAGGTCGCAGATCGGCTGCTGCCTCACGGCGCAGCGCTGACGACCGACGCGACTACTAGGGGAGAGAACTTGACGCCTCCCTCTCTCTTTCAGCCGTTTCCTTTGCCAACATAATTTGCCCTCCCTATCCCCAGGGAAAAAGGAAGCGTGGCCGCCCTCGGCAAACCTGGCGTCGTACTATGCAGCAGCAGCATAGCAGAAGCGGCGAGCATCGGAATGACATGGAGCGAGGTGAAGCGAGAAGCTCAAGATCGCCCCTCTAGGGGACATAGGACTATACCTAAGTCAAGTAAGTCAAGTAATAAATATCGGGTAACTCCCGATATCATACCCAACTTAGTAACGTTTAATATTATGAAACTAATACACACAATTAATGCACAACAAGTCATCATCGGTTTCCAGAAACTCAACAAAATAAAATATGCAAAGTACAGCATAATAAAAATATAATGAATTGTCATCACAGATAACCAAATCTAGTTTTTGTGCTAAAAACTTCGTAGTTTAAAAGTTTTTTTTTTATTTTATTACAGATAGGTATTGACATTTGACATACATAAAAATAAATTATAAATTCAGAATTAATGAGACGTTTATTAATTTTAAATTAAATATTTTGGCTTTTTGATGCTATTTTTACAGCCTTGTTCGTCGAGTGGTCTTAATGCGATTGTGAGGGGTCACAAATTCATTTCTCTGATTAGGTTGATTGATATCAAGGACCCTAGGTACCAAATTAAGATTCTAGACTATCTCCATTGACAGTATAATAAACTAGCTAATAGTAGGCGTTATTCTACTTGCCTTTAAGTGCCTTTGCGTACTTTACCCAAATAAAACGTTATGTAGTTTTTAATTTACCTAATACAAATTCAAAGAATGCAAAGTATTTAACATAACATAACATCACGCCTTTTATCCCCGAAGGGATAGGCAGAGGTGCACATTATTCCACTGTACAATGTAACACCCACTTTTCAATATTTATGTTATGAGTCCCATGTAATAGGGGGGTGAACCTATTGCCACATACGGGCCCAATTCCAGGCTCTGTGCTACTATTGATTTTTTTAAAACCACGTAATACTTCGCCCGACACGGGAATCGAACCCGAGCCCCTTTGCCCGACAGTCGCACTGGCGACCACTCGGGCAACGAGGCAGTAAAGTATTTATGGAATATTTAATCTAGTCAAGCTATAAGGATTAAAATATGCTTTAAGATAACGCCAGGCCAGCATATGAAATAGTTTTAGATAGACGATGAGCAATATTATGAAATATCAGTAAAATATTTTAGTTGGTTCAAATATTTGGAGGTTGGTATTTCGGAAGCAGACGAGAAGGGGACGGGAGGAGGGAAGCGTTCTCGCAAACCTTCTTGCAACGATGTAACGACATCAGTTTAAAATGTTGCCGAAGAATGCACCAGTGTTTAAATATTTTAAGATTCTCAGTACTTGTCTTTCGTAAATGGAAGGAAATGAATAAAGTAGCTATATTTGAAATGGTTATGAGAAATATTCCTAAAGACATCTTGAAGGATATTTCATCTTGACATAATGTTACGTTCTTTTAATCCTCAAAAGGTTAGGCAAGGTACACGTTTATATATAATGAAACATCCAGGCTTCACCTATCCAAATCACAATTAGTTTTACCATAATATGGGGTAATATATAACTAAAAAGCGAAAACACACTTCACCTGCCTCAAGTGAAGATCTTAATAAACACGATGAATGATTAGTTCGATAAAATTAAGATATACCTAACACACATAGGTGAAGTACAGATTTATCGTTGAGGAAAATTTTATCAGGCACATTACTATTACTGTAACTATAACAATGGATATTTTAAAAATATATTGTCTTTCATAGAGTACCTACTCGAGCGGTTATTAACGTTTCTTTACAAAGGCGAAGGCAATTCAATGATCCTGTAAAGTATAAATAAATATTTCGTACTAACACTTTGAATGCCTTTGTGTCCTAAATCGATTCCTGGAGATCGAGATGCTATAACACTATGATACCACCAGGCTGTCCAGCCCCTTGGCCAAATGAGATTCGAACATTTATAAAAATAAAATGAGTATAACTAAAAACGTCAATGTGTGGGATTAAGTACGACATTTGAATATGAAACGTATGTCAAGCCCACTTAGTGGTTTTTCTATTCACTCATTCGAGTAGCGTTTTAGTTTTAGGGGATGCTATGCTGTAAGGCAAATGCCATTTAAGCACGTGTCTACCGAGAGAGTAGAACACTAAATTATAATTATCGTCATCATATCAATCATAAGACTCTGAACATAAGCCTCCCCCAATGACTTCAAGATAGGCCGATTGGAAGCGACCTGAATCTAGCAGCTGGCTTTTCTTTAAGGTAGGAAAATCATAGAATGACTGGAGCCCGTGTGAGACGAGAGGGATTGTCAAATTTTTACTGACTAAAAACCATCCCGTTCCTACTCCTGCTCTTCAAGTCGGAGCCCCGACCATCCGTTACGTGCTCCGCGGCTCCGCATTGGGCATCAGCCCTATTTCAGATCTCATCTTTAGTGATCTGATGACGCCTTGGGGCGAGGGTACGCTCGGGTTTGGTCCATCCAGCAGCTCCCTGAGACCTTGATCAGGTCGTTTTTCCACGTTATAGATGGATGTCAATTACCTCTATATTATGGGATTGACTTATATTTTGACAACTGTCAATATTGAGTCTCCTACTCTCTAGTTAAACAAGCGTTAACTTGGCATTAGACTCATAATACGAATCACTTTAGGCTAAAAAAGAACATTTTAAATCAAAAAATGTTCTGCATTCTAGTACCCGTATAGTCACAGTAGAAACAAAGCTAAAGGCGTTTCTTTCAATCCGTCCGATGTTTGTCAGTTTTAAGCCAAAATGATTATGAAGCGAAACAAGGGACTTAATTAGTATCTGTTTTTCTTTCTACCGCCTTCAAATACTGCTCAGCAGTTTCTTTATAAAGGCATACTTAATATTTCTGCTGACCTTCCATTGTAAATACCGAAGTTAGATGCTGTTTTCCCTTGTTTCTTTTACTTTGGGTATAAAAACAACGACGGAGTCTTTGCAAAGGAATTAGCAGATATTTTGTTTCATTTTTATTTTAAATATACAATTTAATGAATGCCATGTACCAGACAGAGAGTTGAGAACGTCAAAATTAATTTGTTCTATCCTAGCCTATTGCATTTTGTCCATCTTATGTACGTTGAATGCATGAACTATTACTGAAGACGCGCGCGAGCACCTTCGCTTCCTGATCTCACGGCGATAATCCGGCAAGGTTTGCCGGATCGTGGGATACCCACGTACCACCCGAATGGCCATGACACTCTGAGACGTGAGCAGCGCCCGAGCTGGCGCCATAGAGAGCCATGGACCGCAAGATCCCTGCGTACACCCTCCAGCAGGAGGCGTTTGGCCCCCAAAGGTTGGGTAGGAGGCGCTTAAGCACCGCCCCGTCCGTTCAAAAATTAAATAGCCTACGAAATATAATTTAGAAATACCTAAAAATTTTCTTTGAAATTATAATTAAAGTACTTTTCTAAGATTAAAAAATAGAGGTACTTAAACATTTTTTGTGCTGATCAAGGATAGGTACAGTAAAAATTATTATCATTTTTCACAAAATTATCTCGACATTCCTATAAAAAAACAGGACCCTTTCGTGACAATTTTTTTAAATTCCACGCGCGCACAGACACTGAATTTTTTTAGCAAATTTTCCAAAAAATATCCTAAAATATAAATAGATACCTGACGAGTGACGATACCTACTATTATTTAATTATTTAAAAGAACAAATAACAGCTCATAAAATATTATATTGTATATTGATCTTTATAATTTAAAAAGTCAACATTTGACCCTTGACACCACAGTTGCTAGTGCAAATATTCTATAGGTCACTTCGGCGCAAGTTGTAAATATTTCCGTAAATGCATACATTAACAAGAACACAGATGATTTGAGGACAAGAAACAATATTACTTAATATTAATTTAGTGAAATCTGTAAGTGCAGTGGACTGGCAAACTATATGTCTTTTTGTGGGTTTCACTCCCGATGTGAATACTTATTATCTGCGATTCGTTTAGATTTTTTTTGTATGACCCGTGATTGACGTGGATTGACGTGTAATATTTACCGTATATAAATGCACGAGACCCTTTTTCGAAGATAATAAAAATAACATTCTATGTCACTCATTACAATAAAACCTTTGCAGCGTATTTTTTACAAAAATCCTTCATTTAATTTATAAATAACGAGCAGGAAAGTTGCACTTAACCCGAGTTAGACGACATCGCTGGAGCCCTCTTTTGTTCTGTCCAGAATTCCTAGGCGACCTAATTGCACCGAGGATGTTGTTGAACAATTACGGCTACGAGAAACGAAAGAAATTCTGGACTGAGTAGGCACTTAGGTATTTTATTTTGTATTTTCTCATTTTTGATATTTTCGAGGATCCATGATATTTTGAAAATAAAATTAAAGAAAGTACTCACGCTTATGATGACATTGCGGACGATGTTAGGAACCACAAGGAAGCCGACGATACAGCTGCCGATCACAAGGATGGCGCCTATCACCAGCGTGGACACGCTACCGATCACACCACACATTTTCACAATCACAGCTCCAATGAAACAATGTTAATTATTGAAAATGTGTTAATTACTGCCCGGCCGCTAATACCACGCGCTTGTGATTGCGATTAGTGTTGACATTGTGCACCATATATTTTCATTGATAACGGTATCCAAGATTTATACTTGCTCCGTAGATAAAACCTTATCAAATGAATTACACGAATTAGTAAAGAAATGTTGTCCGTTATTTTCTTTCTCATACACTGATTTTTATGTTAGTTATCGTGTAAACAAGACGCCTACGTAAGAAGACGATTCTGTAACAATATTGATTGATCAGATTATCAGAGTTAGAAAATGTTAGCGATATTTTCGACTCATATATCAACCAATCAACAAGTTAAGAAAATATGCCAACCAGAATAAGAAGACTGGTTAGGGTGTGGATTTTTATATGGGCGGGAGTAGGCGTTAGTGTTGTTCCACGCGCGCCACTCGAGGAAGAAAATCAGCTTCCAAGGGCTGCTTCGTGATCGGACCTGCCGCAATATAGTGGTAGGTCGAGGCTTGCCGGGTGCGGTGATTCCGCAAGGGTGTCCCGGGTCACGGCCACAGGTAAAGGAGGAACATCGCGGTGGTTTTAGCCGGTACGAGTCCGGCACATACCACGTGGTCGGAATGGTCGGTGCCAAAATGACACGAGCCTTGCTTTCATTCTAGTCGTGCCCCAAAGGGAGAATCGCAAAGCCTTAGTAAGATAGATAGTAAATAATAATTATCTAAAAAACCTCGATGTTTCATGGTCATCACAGTCTTATTAAAATTGTTTCTTGAAGGTTATTGTAATTTCATACTCTGAGGTTTTCAAATAACTATAATAATTTGTGACAAAGTTAGTTTACGATGCTTCGGGCCAAACGTTTCGGTGTTCACAGAAATTGTTTCAATTACGATTAGTGTTACATTATTTTTACAAGCTTTTGCCTCGACTTCGTCTGGGTGGAATAGCTCCATGTTGGGCAGAATATTATATTCCGATTCTTAAGTCTAAACTGACTTGGTTTGTTTCCCATAAGAGAGTACTATTTATTTATTTATTTTCAGCCATGATTGTCTCACTGCACCACAAATAAAGTGTAGGAGAGCCATGCTTCAGCACGAATGGGCCGGCTCGACCGGAGTGATACCGCGGCCTTACAGAAAACCGACGTGAAACAGCGCTTGCGTTGTGTTTCGTCGTGTGAGTGAGGTTACCGGAGACCAATTACCCTCCCCCATCCCAATTTCCCCAATTCCTGAATCCCCAACGATCCTCAAACTCCTAATCCAAAAAAGGCCAGTAACGCACTTGTAATGCCTTTGGTGTTCCAGGTTTCCATGGGCGACGCCGATTGCTTACCATCAGGTGATCTGTCTGCTCGTTATGCCATAAAAAAGGCCTCCCTACCCTCCTATAAAAGAGTTATGTTTCTTTAAACAATTAATGTATTCTTTTAAAGCTTTTCCTGAAAAATCGCGGCGACTACAATATGATAGTTGACAACTAGTCAAATTCAATACCTACATTTAACGAAACGTCAAAAACGATAGTGTTGTCTTATGATCTTATGACGTCATCATATTTTCATGTCAAATAGCACACTTATATCTTAAAAAAATGCTAGAAAAAATCGAAAATTAAATATATCATCAAATCAATGAATGAAAGTGTAAGTATTTGTCAATATTTAATTGGACTGATAAATCAAAATAATTTATTTTTGACCCACGAAACTACCCAATTGTAGATGACACCAACCTTCATCATCCATACAAAGCTGTCACCACTAAACCAGCCTAACTAGACCTCTACTACTTTAACATAAGCAGCATCAATCGATAAATGAATATTAATTAATTAGATCAATTTGGGTATCTTCACAGTTGGTTGTGAAGTTGCTCTCGAGACCATCTCGAATCATCTCGACTGAGGGCCTTCTCTAATCAGTCCTCGTTCATCAAGTGGTTTACGGTGAATAGATCACTTCAACCCATTGCAGCTTGCATTGTTCCACTCATTGGAATACAACCGAAGGCTATCAAGCATCTCTTTACTAATGAATGGGGAAATAACGATGGTAATAGTAGGTAATAAAACCTTCATTGTTTGAATCGCAAAGTCTCAGGTCATTATTTTTAGGTTAGGTGCAGTTTTATTTTGGAATTGCTTATATAATTTATACTAATATTATAAAGCTGAAGAATTTGTTTTTTTGTTTGTTTGTTTGAACGCGTTTATCTCCGAAACTACTGGTCCGATTTGAAAAATTATTTCTGTGTTGGATAGCCCATTTATCGAGGAAGGCGCCGAGCATAGGGGTCGCAAACCGGGATACCGAATTTCGAAAATACCGGAATACCGGGCCAAATTTAGGTCTAATTAATACCGGTAGTCATTTCACAAAAACCGGGATATTCGGTCTTTTTGGTTTTAGTAAAATAAATAAAAAACACTGAATTTAATTTAAGAATTTTTGTTATTTTGGTAATCAGAATATTATTTCATGATTAGTAAACCATACTAAGAGTTAATTTTATGTTTTATGAGAATATTTTATTAATTTTATGTTTAATGAGAGTTAATTACAAGTGTATTTTTGGGTTCGTTTTGTTTATGTTGAGACTGTTGTGAGATGTTTAAGTTTGATAAACATTTTATTTTTAGAACTGATTTCTAGTAGGAATCCTACTTCCTAGTCAACTACATTTAATTAAACTATTTGAACTAGTTACCTCAAGTTATTGTATGTAATAAAGGAATAAACGGAACATTAGTAAATTATTGCTAAGTACTAACTAACTGGGTGATTGCCAACAATAATAAACCTTGTGTCAATGAAAATTTTGTTTTATTTAGAAGATGAATTCATTTAGGTTAGGTACCTACTTACTATTCCTCCGTTAACTAACTTTATTATACTAAATTTGCTAACTTAGGTTAATCCCGGAAATATCGAAAATACCGGGATATCGGTATTGGTCTGGGGCCAATACCGAAAATACCGGTTTTGGTCAAATGATTCGGTATTGCGACCCCTAGCCGAGCAGAGCGAGTGAAACCGCGCGGAAGTAGCTAGTTATAGTAGATATTGTTATGGTGTCTAGAGAAGACACGTAGTTTTTTTTTTATAAAATAGTACTGATAGAAGGCTAACAACGAGGGGGTAATTAAGTCATCAGCGCCGCCCATGGACACTGGTAATACCAGAGTAACACCCGAAAACTCGAACGTCCCTCAAATACACCTGACAATAGTGATTTTATTAAATAGCTAATTCTATAATAATTTATATACTAAAATGTAATGAATTCACTGTCAATCTACAACATTATAATATTAAAATTGAACATTTTTTGCGACTAAATTGCCATGTAGTGAAACGAGTACCTCGTTGGCCGAGTGGTCGTAAGTGCGATTGCCGGGCAAGACGTCCTGGGTTCGATTCTCGGGTCGAGCAAAGTAATACTGGGCTTTTTAAAAAAGTCTCCGTAGTAGCACGGAGTCCGGAAATGTGCCCGGTATATTGCAATACGTTTACGCCTATTACATGGGACACTTAACATAGTGAAAAGTTGGTGATACATTGTACAGTGGCATTACTTGCCGGAATGTACACTTCTGCCTACCCCTTCGGTGATATAAGGCGTGATGTTATGTTATGTTATAAGAGAGATATCCTGAGAAATCAGCCCAGAGATTAATACTAACTATGTTGAGGCTCGTGTTGTATAAGTAAATTTTGAATCCTCTGCACTTTATTTTTTTTTTGTTTTATGCTTACACGTATACACGTTTGAAGTGCACTAGCGATCAGGCTGCGATACACAGGGTGTGCAAACTTTTTCAATTTCAAAACTTTCAATTAATAGTAAACATGAAACTGCGCTCCGTTAAACTTTACATCAACCTGGAACAAAACTAACAAACGGTGTGAACCTTGTACTATACCCCTGTACACACATCACCATAATTTCAGATTCTATGGGCAGGTAGGTTAGTTAGGTTAGGTTAGGAACAAAGCAATGGAGCCACTTTTTTTTCATTTCTTGATGAATATTTTCTGATATTATTATTTTATTATTTATTATACCTTTTTACAGTTCAAATAATTCTTGCCGGACTCTAATTGGGTACTTGCCAACTATATAGTCAAATTCAATACTTGTTTCGAACTGCCAAAAAGGACAGTTTTCTATGAATTTTAAACGACATTGTGTATTGTGACGTCACGTTTTTGAAACGTCCAACAGCACACTATATTAAAAAAAAATTGCTTGAAAACTACTAAAATTAAGTTGGTCATAAAATCAATTAATTAAAGTGTTATTATTTTTTAATATTGTACAGTCGAAATAATTTGTTTTTGATTTAGGAAAGTAGGTACAGATCAATATTTCATAACGCAAATTCTTGTAAACCTCTTCAGTAGTAGGATTGTATTTCTAACTAATTATGTGTTAACTTTCACATTGACAATATTATCTAGGAAGTAAGAAAGAGTACCTAAGTACATACATATGTATATCACATTCCAAAACATACAAAATAAGTTAATCTCTTACACGCAGTGTTCACAAAAATAAAATAGGGATACCTGTTAAAAACAATCGAAAGAATTATAATTTATTCGTAGCAAAACCTTCCTTGACCTTATTTTCTCAGACACAATAATCCATTATCAATAACTACACGAGAGAACAAATAGGTACTTTGTGAAGAGGACTTCATAGAAAAAGCAATTACAGCCCGATGTCTGAAGGCCTTGCTCCTGATACCAATCTGTGGACGAGACACATAATCCTCTTGAACGTTTATAAAAATAAGAGCATTTTCCACGTAAGTTATCGTTTTAGATAATTTTTCAGTTCCACGAAAATTTGTCTTTGTATGTACTTCGCAAAAGTGCCTTGTATACGGAGCACAGAGTGGCACAGAGCCTGTCTTATGCCCAGTGTAATATTGTGGCATTCGGCTCACTGTCTTTTACATGGAATTTTTAACATCAATTATGAAAAATGTGGGTTTTAATGTAGACGTTTCTCTCTGCCTACCACTTCAACGATCAAAAACCGTGACACAATGTTCTATATTATGTTATTTTGCTTTAAAAAGATATTAATCAAAACGTAGAGAGACAAATTATAATTTTATAACCTAAATACGATTTTATATTCGTCTGTAGCTACTTACGCCATCTATTGAGTACGATTGGAAGTTAACTTTTATAGGTCAA